GTCCACGTTCGCAGTAGTCACCCAGATGCTTCAAATGCCAATAGTCGAGCACACAGCAGGCTTACTGAGGAGGGATGGCGCTAACTCTCAGATTACGGCTCATCATATCATTTTGGACGAGGCCGAAATTCGTGCAAGAGGTGACAACCACGTAAGCCGAGAGCTGCTGGAGTCAGGGTTCGTCAGCCGGCATTTAATTAGCAAACAGCACGATCTCCCACCTCCATTTTCGCTGCTACGATTTTGCTTAGGTAAAATCATTAGTCTCTCGGACGGGGGGGGAGGGGTTACGAGTAACTATCAGTCAGTTTGCCAGATAATCGTCACGCTGAGAAGCGACGGTGGTAATGCTGATATCTACATCCATAAACGATACGGGTAGGGACCGAAAAACAACCATCCTATCAGCAACGACCGCCGACGGTGAATAGGAGAATTAATTATTGTTCTAGGGATGTGGTTGCATGGCAACCGCATCCTTGAATACCGCGCCGTAGCGATCCATCAGGACAAAGAGATAGGTCCTTGTTTGAATGCATGGGCGCGGCCACCTCGAGTTCCGGTCGAAGATGCTGTAAGTGGCGTATCCTCGCAGTGAAATTGCAGAAGTGTTGTCCCCTCCCTGGTGACAATCTCCAGCTCCTTAAGACAGTGATGTGCAACAACTGCCCTTCCTGCCAGGACCCTACAGTTTGATTCCTACTCCGGTGGTAGTATTCAGTTCCACCTCTACCAAAATGCGGTCCTGGATTTTGCACATAATTGTCCATTTACCGTTTAATGACTTTCCGGTGTCTATTCAGAATACAAGCCTTGTCTACTAACATTTTCACCGGCTTCAGCGTGTTGTAAATGTGGCCAAAGCTGCGATATCGCCGTTTAACTATGCTACGCCTTGTGTGAGCCCCCAAGGAAGAACACGACAAGAAGTGCGCAAAGGTAGAAGTCTACGTAAAAACCTAGTACATCATACTTAAGCAAGCAAATGCATACAACATTGGACCAATGGGATTGTGTACTCAAATAAGACACGACTCCATTGGCCTTGTGACTCATGCAGCTGGCGCGTTAGAGTCATGCGCCAGCCGCGCTGTGCACGTGGTCACATGCATTCTGTGTGGGCGGACCGGTTGTCTGGCGTGCGAACGACTCATCCGGGCGGCGTACACCTTGTGTAGGCGGACCGATCATTTGGCGGGAGTGTGGCGACTCACTCCAGATAGGCGAGCATGTCCGAAGGCTCATTGCTGCTAACGAGTACTTCTGCACTTAAGGCGGCCTCTGCAACAGCCAATCAGGTCCCGCGAAGGCTAGTCTCGGTGGCGAATAGGACACATGTACGCCTTGGTCGATGCAGTCTTTCCGGCCAATTACCTTCAAGGCAACCAGACAATGCCCGTTCTCGCTGCCACTTGCATGCCTGCTGCTAAAACTCCACTTGGGACTCGATCAATCTCCTGAGCAGACGTGTTTTCCCAAGTCAGACTTCCTCCATCTATTCTCATTTCCCTTGTGTACACAACATACTCTTCCCTCTATTCTGGCCTTTACGGACTTCTCTTCAGCACTAAATAACCATGGTCTGAAGATCGCAGTTGCACGGT